CAAAACTTTGGTTTATAAGACTTGAAAATTATTTTCTCGCTAACCGCATTCTTTTGCAAAAGGATAAGTTCGGCCTGACAAGCACACTACTCCCAGACGAAGTAGCTGACAGCGTTCGAGAGGCACTAGCAAAACCAGACACAGAAAAACCATACGACGTGCTAAAAGAGGCAGTAATTAAAACTCTCTCTCTCAGTGACCAACAAGCCGTCGAACAACTCCTTAGCCAAGTACAAATTGGAGATAGAACCCCATCACAACTAAAAAATTATATGAAAAGTCTACTTAGCGACAGACACATTGACAATAATCTATTTTATCAACTGTGGCTCCGCCGACTCCCGGCAAATATACAGCAGATCCTAGCTGTGGGAGATACGGATGCTGATTTAGACAATATAGCAAAGATAGCCGATAGAATATACGAAAGAAGCAAGCAAGCAAGCCCTCCACTACACAGCGTGACGGTAGACGATAGACTTGATACTGTACAGAAGGAAATAAATGTTTTATGCCGCAAACTCACAGAATTAACGCAGAGAGAAAAGCCACGAAGGTCATCGCGAGATCGCTCGCGTGAAAGGACCCGGTCAACTTCTAGACGACGCACAACTCCCGCGATATGTTGGTATCATCAAATGTTCGGCTACAGGGCTAGAAAGTGCTTACAACCTTGTAGATTTAACAGGGCTAGTAACCGATACTCACGAGTATCAATGGCACCGGCATCAACACACATAATGCCTGAAAATAGTCGCTTGTTTTATATACAAGACCGAACCACTGGCGCACAATTCTTAGTTGACACTGGAGCGGAAATTAGCGTAGTACCTCCATTTAACGAGGAAAGAAAAAACATTAATCCGTCATTAGTGCTAAGAGCAGCAAACAAATCAGATATTAAGACATATGGTAAACGGAAATTGTCCCTAGATTTTGGACGTGGCGCTTCATACCGCTGGAACTTTGTCATACCAGACGTATCGATGCCCATAATAGGCATAGATTTCTTATGTAACTTTGACCTGCTAGTAGACTCTAGACGACACAGACTTATAAACGGCAGTCAAACCACTTCGATAAGAGGAATACTTACGGAAGCCGTTTCAATGAACCTTGTGATAGATAAAAGTCGTGGTGATCCATATAAATTGTTGTTAAGGGAGTTCCCTGAACTCGTAAAAGTAACATACAATAAAGCGGATCTCAAACATTCTATTCAGCATCACATCGTAACGAATGGTCCACCAATCAATGCAAGACCAAGAAGGTTAGATCCCAAAAGACTAGCCATCGCAAAACAGGAATTCGACAAGCTAATGAGGCTAGGCATTATAAGGCCATCGAGCAGCCCGTGGGCATCCCCGCTACATATGGCCCCGAAAAAGAATGGAGAGGTTAGGCCATGTGGAGATTACAGAGCACTGAACAAACAAACAGTAGCTGACAGATACCCTATACCGCACATCTATGATTTCACCTACAGTATAGAGGGCACTACTATCTTCTCGAAGATCGACTTAGTCAGAGCATACTACCACATCCCTGTTGCCCCACAAGACATACCGAAGACAGCAGTAACAACCCCATTTGGGCTATATTAATTCCTGCGTATGCCTTTTGGACTGACTAACGCGGCACAAACCTTTCAACGGTTTATCGACCAGGTCATTAGAGGTTTACCTGGGGTATACGCGTATATCGACGATTTATTAGTAGCTAGCACCACTAAAGATGAGCATATACAACAACTACGGCAATTATTTATACGACTCAGAGAACATGGTATTTCTATAAATATTGAGAAGTGTGAATTCGGAAAAGAATCTTTACAGCTCCTAGGTCACAATATAACTTCTCAAGGCATCATACCAATAGCAACAGAAGTCGACGCCATTAGGAATTATCCCCTACCCGACTCATGGAAAAAGTTACGCCGATTTCTCGGGTTAATAAATTATTACAGACGATTTATCCCGAATTGCGCGTCAATATTGCAACCACTAACAGATGCATTACGCGGAAACGCACGGACATTCCAATTATCACCAGACGCAATTCAAGCATTCGAGAGCGCTAAAAAAGCACTAAATAAAGAAGTGACACTAACTAGACGAAAGAGCGAAACACCGTTAGCTATCATGACGGATGCATCAGACGTAGCGGTAGGAGCCGTTTTACAACAATTAGTAAATGGCATATGGGAACCGCTCTCATTTTTTTCGAAAAGACTGAATCCGACACAAACAAGATATAGTACTTTCGGAAGAGAACTCCTAGCGATTTACTTGGCAATAAAACATTTCCGACATATGATTGAGGGTACCATTTTCACAATATATACAGACCATAAACCCCTCACAAAAGCATTGAACGCCAAACAGGACAACTACTCGCCGAGGGAAATCCGACAATTAGAATTTATTTCCCAATTCACGTCTAACATACAGTATGTCAAAGGCAATAGTAACGAAGTGGCAGACGCGTTATCCAGAACGATGGTCAATGCTCTCATCCAGTCTGAAATCGATTATCACAAGTTAGCAGCATTACAAAATATCGACGTCGAGTTAAACAGACTAAAGTCTGCCAATATAACCTCGTTAGTTCTCAAAGAAACTCCATTGGAAGAAGTAAGCATCACCTGCGATATTTCTACAGGTCAACCAAGACCATTTATTCCAAAGCCGCTAAGGCGAAACATTTTCGAAGCTATGCATAATATTTCGCATCCCGGAATAAAGGCCACCATCAAACTAATCAGCGAACGTTTTGTATGGCCAAGTATGAATCGGGATATTCGTAATTGGACGCAAGCGTGTATAAAATGCCAGAGAGTTAAGATACATTGCCACACCAGTTCCGCAGTAGGTCATTTCCGTCATCCCGACAGCAGATTCGAGCACGTACATATCGATATTATAGGACCACTGCCGGTTTCGAATGGTTTCAGTTACATTTTCACTTGCATTGATAGATTCACACGATGGCCTGTAGCTGTGCCCATAAAAGATATTACAGCCGAAACTATCGCAAAAACCCTAGTAGAGCATTGGATTTCCCATTATGGCGTACCTACTAATATTACAACCGATAGAGGAGCTCAATTCGAGAGTCGCCTCTTCCAACAACTCACAGAACTCCTCGGAATCAAGCGAATTCGCACAACATCCTACCATCCGATGTCGAATGGTATGGTAGAGAGATTACACCGACAACTTAAAGCTTCTCTTACAGCTGTCATCAGCAATAACGATTGGGCCAGCAAGCTACCGTTAGTCATGTTGAGCTTAAGATCAACAATCAAACAAGATATAGAATGCTGCCCAGCAGAGTTGGTTTATGGAACCACACTACGTCTGCCAGGAGAGTTTTTCACCGCAGGTAAAAGCGTCCCAACTGATATAGCGGACTATGTACAGCGTCTTAAGCAGCATATGAGTAGTCTAAGGATAACGCTTCCGAGACAACATCAACGCCGTGTGTACATACCCAAACAACTAAGTGACAGTACCCATGTGTTTATAAGAAGGGATAATGTGCAACGTCCCTTACAACCGGCCTACGATGGTCCATTTAAGGTGATTAAAAGAGACGACAAAACTATTACGGTAAACAAAGCTGGAAAAACGGATGTAATTAGCATCGACCGAGTCAAACCAGCTTTCATCGAAGCCTGCGATCAGCCAGTACATACAGATACTGCGAAAACCGTTGAATCATCGAAACGTCAGTTCCAATCATCAACGACATCGACGAACACAAACAAAGAGAATCCAGTAACCACAAAGTCTGGTCGAAGAGTAAGATGGCCCCAACGTTCTGTCGCTGCAATCTTCTATTAATAATTTTCTACTATTTTAAATATTAATTATAACTTCCACTTCATTGTATACACATGCATTACTAATTTCATGTTATACGCTATAAAACTCAACATATCTTATGTACCCCTACACTTACACGTATAATTTTTATTTAAAATGTAAAGCAATACCGCATTCCTTCTATTTATTGCTATTATTTTATATAACCTCACGGACGGGCACAAACCAAATGTACAGCACACACTAACTTCATCTTAATTTTGTACAAACCATTTTTTTTAAACGACTGTAACTACCCTACTCAGTTTACTATTTTTTGTGCAAACACAGACATTTTTCCATATATCTTTGTTTGCAGGGGGGAGCTATTATAGCGACTCACGTGCAATTGAGTTTAGTTCAGTCAATGTCTTTTGTTGACCTATTTAATGGACAAAGTCATCCATGATATAACAACTTGTTGTACTATCTTTATTCTTATGCTTGTATGAAATACATATGCTTGAACATTGTTTAGCGCCTACGCATGTATTCATTCTGCTAGCTTCATTATTAACTGCTTAGTCTATTCGCTGACTCATCCATTTTCCTATACATATATATATATATATATATGTGTACATTTGCACCCATTCACTACTACTACAACAACTATAACTACTTGCTACTGCTACGATCGTAGTTCGCTTGCTCATTCATTTTGCCTCTCTGCTGTCTGGTCCGAATTATCTACTAAATAAACTGTAGTAGCTGCTTCTTTTTGCCTTCTGATTTCAAACATCGTTGAAGATTATACGACAACGGTTCGAGGGTGATTAATTATCGAAGCACAGCCACTACAGGTGCGAAAGATAATTTGACGTTTGTGAAGTCCTTCATTCTGTTTAGGAATACCCTGTTGAATACTTTTCCTGGTTTTGAGTGAAGAGTGATGCTTCTTCAGTTCTCACATTTGCTGTGTCCTCCTTTCTTTGTTATCTTGATGAGATGTCCTTCAACACTAATTGTAGAGTTGGTTTATTGTTAAGGTGTAGTAAAATCCGCAAGCGTGCAGAAAGCAAGTACACAGGGAAACAAATAAGTGGTAAAAGTCCACATTTATTGTTGAATGTTAATCGATTGCGAATAAATTATTCATTGTCTTCGTTTACAACCAATGAGAGAATAGATCAAGATTGACGACCAGACATTTTCTCATTCAGACTTACACAAAATTTTATATAGTGGATTAAATGTCTAAATTACAGCGAGTAGACAAATAATAAAGTAGTTGATTAGGCTTACTACAATAGTATTTAAGTAATTTCTATATCAGTACATTAAATAAAATCCTTTACAAAAATTATATTGACTATGTTCAAATTATCATGATTTATTATTATTGTAAAATATGTATTCATATTGTTTTTCAGAGACAACTGAATTAAGCAAAACGACTTTCAGTACGAAAAGTGAGTTGCTGTTTTTTTTCTTCCTTGTTTATACTTTAAATATTAAGTGTATGTCAAAACTTTTAATTAGTCTTGTACTGACAGATTAATGTCGAAATTTAAAATGATGATTTCTTATTTACGTCCTTATCATTTCACAATATTCATTTAATCAAGTTATATTACTAAACTAAGCAAAAACTATAACACTATCAGTCAAATAGAATCAGATTTCATATTCACCTCATAATATTATGATTATTTCCCACAACTCTTAACCATTTGCATACAATTGGTCAGCAGATATTTTCATTAGTATCAATTGTGGTCATAAGTTCTACTCAGCCATTTTTCATCCAAGTGACGGGAATTCCCTGAGAGTCTATTACCAAGATTCCTTACTCTTTAAGAAGTTGAAAAGAGAATGAGAAAGGTTTTATGAAAAGAATGGTTGAGTCGAATGATCTCAAGTGGTTTATTTAGTTGATAAATTATAAAATAATAGGCTTAGATTAGATATCTGTCCAAAACTAAGATTGTGTTACGAAGAGACCAGTTAATTGTAAATTATTCAAAACTTTTGTGGTGTTTTATAATTTATCGATGACTTTTATCTTATTCAATCGATAGCACATCAAGCTTCTATTATCTGACTATTTCACTCTTGTTAATAACATTTCCCCATAGGTTTACTAAAGGTGTTCATTTAGTATTACAGGATACTAAATAGATCACAGTGTTTAGTACCGGGTGATAGATCTAAAACTTTATCCAGGAATTTTACTGATATATTACCTACTTCATGAACCAACATCTTCAATGAATGTTTCTTCAAAATGTATCATCTATGTAAGAAGAGATTAAGATAATTTTAACATTCAAATTGTTGTCTAACATAAAGGTTTAAGCTGTGATTTATGAAAATAATATTAACCGTTTTTTAAAACAAACAATTATTACAATCTATGCTTTAACTTACATTAAACAATCTTATCAACTTAAACCAGTATTAATATAAACATTTAAGTTGTTTAATTGCTACAACTGATCTTGAATTATAAATATAACATCCAGTTTTTTTCTAAAAATGTTAAGAATGTTTAATAAGTTTCTTAAGAATACACTCGTTTTAATGCCTGCAAACACCGATTAACCTGAAGATAAATTTTAAAATAAATTATACATCCTCAGTTTTACTGCATTAGATTTAATTATACATCTTAAAGTGTGATCAATATCATTTTAGATATACTAGAACTATCAATGACAGTGGAGGTTTTAATAGGAAATCAACAAACAAATTGGAATTCCGAACTGTCTAACAAATTTTCTGAACTTTACAACAGTACTGCTGAAAACACCTGTGCTTCGGTATGCAATCATGTCATTTTATTTTATGTTCGTCTATTTTAGAACTGAATGTTTGACTGGTCTTTTGTGAGGCCAAAAGACCATTCTTACATCCTAATAAATTACATACTTATAATCAAGATGCAAATATGCTGTTCTCATGATTTATAAAAAAAAGGCCTGTTTTGGTTTAAATAAAGTTAGGAATGTATTCGTTGAATTTTAAGAAAAATTAACACCTTATCCAGTTTCACCTGTTAACATTGTTATTAAGAGCCAAGTAGTTTACAATACGAATTCACAATCAATATAAACAGTGAAAACATAAATATAGTTTATAAAGAATGTAATAAGCCTACTTATTGAAGTGGTTTAAAATCCAACATTTTTATTGAGTTTGTTTCCAATATTGCTTGACAATCCTCCACTATGAAGGTCAATGTATATGAGACTCTAAAAATGAGTGTTGAATGGTCTACACAGTTATTTTCAAAAGCAAGGGATCATGATATTCTTTGGTACAATAACCATTTTCTTTTTCTTTTCATATTCACAAGACTTTTGGAAACGAATGAATTCAGTTTTTTTACTGATATATATTTGAATTTGTTACAGAAATAAAATAAAAATATAAATTTATTACAGGGCCAAAGTAACTTTACACTAAACACATGAAACTATCACTAACAACCAAATTGTATGTTGATTTCGAAAATTTCAGGAACATAAACAGTTTACTTTACGCCCAAAATTACTATTATATATATATATATATATATATATATATATATATATAACAGGGGTTTCACATAACGTAAGCGGTTACGAATATATTTTAGTTGCTAACGATGACAGTGGAGCTAAATTAACAACATAATGTTAAGCGAGCCGAAAATGTCTACATAATCAATAAATTCTCTTCAATGACTAACTTATTGTATTTTATTTGTAATGATTTTCATGCATTAATGATGGATATATTTATGCAAAATCCATAGATGACAAATTCAATAAGAACCAGGTTCATCTTAATAGCATTCTCCTTCTTTTTCTTCTTCACCTCACGAGTACACGGATCTGGAGACCACAATCTCTCTAGCAGATTCAGTTGGCAAATATCATTTCAGTAACTATTGATTTTACAATTAAACATTGTGATCGACACATAATATCTTGATCGTACTTTTAATTCTCGACTTACCAAAATGGTATACAATATCAGATTGTCTAAAACATACATACTTCAAATACTTTTATATTCAAATTTTTATGTGTAATCTGTTATTAACATGATTTGTCGACAGAATGTATATGAAGAAAAATAGGATACATAGATTTTATTACCATTATTATTATATTAAGCAACAGACATTAAATATTTACTGTATGCTTCTACTTGTAAATTCGTCTTTGACGTACATTCATAAAAGAATTTATTTCAACTCAACATATCACATGAATCTCCATAAATTTGATTTATTATGCTTTCATCTAATATTTCTTTGCAGATAAAAGCCAGCCCTCGATATATTACATCAATACAATACACCGTACGTACTTGTACTGTTCTTCGTTTTTATCCGGGTTCTGTGAAATCTGATGTACAGATAATTGTAGAATACATAAATGACCTCAATGTGACTCAAACACAAATTCTGCAAGCAATTCAGTTGGGTTCGCAATTATATGTAATAGATCTGTTAAAAAATCAGTCAATCGATTCCAATCGTATAATATCACTTAAGTGTATGTTTATATCGTTAAAAATTCATTATGTATAGAAAATACTGATATATATATATATATATCCACCGTATCCACCAACTCCGTTAAAGCACCGGACATTCGTTTTTTGTCCTCTAAACACTCCCGCTACGAGATACATCTGTTTTCAACATTATTTTTCTTCCCTTGATGAAATTAATGTATGTAGCATAATATGTATTAGTTTTGTGCTTCATCACTTCCAGTTGGAAATGTAGCAATTCTGAAGAAAGCACATACAGATATTAGTGTTTTACGTAAAAAGATTATCGTTTCTCCTAAAAGTTTACGTATTCAAGCAAATAAAACGAAAAGTCATCATTTCCCTTAAATATCAATTATGCAACTCATTAGTATTTTGTTTATTTCAAACTCCAAGGATTTAAATTTATTCCTGTAAGGTGTTATAGTTGGGGATTTTTGAAAAGTTTTGTAGCAAGATGAAATAATTGTCAAATGCTGTGTGATTTTAATTGCTTGTATATCCATCGAAGTGATCAAGAATAGATCTAATAATAATATTACTAAGACTTGAAGAAATATTACTTTTATCCTTATGAACACTTTAAAAGTATTACATTTTATAAGAAAACTTTTAAATGTATTTATATTTTATTTATTTATTAAAACATAAACATTGGTACTAGGAGACACCAAACACATATGCGCCACATAAATCATTCCATTTTTGTGAGGGCTGAACTGTTGCCCAGGTGCCCAAACAGAAGCAGGTGGTTTTCTTAGGGAGCCACAACCCAAGCCTTCGACCTGAAGGTCTAATCCACAAGGCAGTGAAGCAACGTAAGGGGATGCAATCTCATGGTAGCTGGTGACCAATAACTGGTCCATACGCCTTTTTTCTTAAGATCCTGGAGCCCATGTACACTATTGGTTTGGAATTAGGGTTTTCCAACTCCCCTAGGTGGATCCTTCATATCCACCAACTCGGTTAAAGCGCCGGACATTCGCTTTTCGTCTCCGCCACGAGAAGGCAGTGAGCAGGACTCCCCTGGCAGTGGTTGTATGCACGTAGCAGCTTGAGAGCATTTCGAGAGAAAGAGCTATCCCCACTGTCGGCCGTACTAGGGCATTTGGGGGACCAGGAACTAATTAGGGAAGAATAATGTCTGCTTATTTTATAAAAAAACTAACATCTTCAGTAATAAGTGTGAAGACTCAACTTAGATATGTAAATAGATTATTCGGTATAAACCTTGTAGTTTATTGTTCTCTTCTATACATATAAAAGGACTATTGAAATGCTAATAATTAACTACTAGAGAATTCATATACGTGAAAATTGGAAATTCGTCAGTTTCCATCCTATGTTCATTTTCATGAACACTTACTATCATAGCATTAAATATTGTAATATAATATGGGACTACTAGGCAATGCTCATCCATGATCTCTCATGCGAGGTTCGATTGGTTGAAGCTAGACAGTAACACTGTTGGATGATGGCTTGGTGGTATAGAGATTAAGCGTTCACACGCGAGACCGAAAGTCCTGCGTTCTAATCCCGCGTGCGGGGTCGTGGATGCGCACTGCTAAGAAGCCCCATACTATGATGATGTGGCCATTCAGTGCTTCCATATTTTCAGTGGTGCTCCAATATACTTAGTTATTTCTCAGTCGTACGATATGTGCACTCCTAATGCATTTAAGTGTCTTTTTCAGTCCCCTTAATTATTTTGATATGACTAATTGGCGCGACTATAATTTTGGGATGAACAAATCAGAATTAGGATATCAGTTTTTGGATTTTGGTGCGAAATTTATTCATCCATTTAGCTAAATAGTGTCTTATCAGTTCATGATGGGAAACCTTGAATATAATTTCTAACCGTAACCATCAACTTTAAATCAAAATTCTAATTCCTCACACTGATTTATAACCATCATTTGGTTCTAGTTAGTAGGTGGACATTCTGAAGGTCACTTTAGTGTCTCGCACAGGTCGTTCATAAATTATAGTCTCACCGATTGATTACTAACATTTATTCATGTATATTTTTGTAATATGTCTGGAGTACTTACCTATTTGTTGTACTATGTATGATCATTAAAACTGAGTCGGCAACTCAAGTCAATACACACAGCAGCACGAATGATCAATACACCAATTCACATAACACACGCTACCTGCAAAGTTTGTACAATATACGTGTGCATGAAATATATAATTCTTATATATTGTGTAACTTGTTAACCATCTTTATTAACTAATATCAATCCACTGTTCTTCATTAATCTGTTTAGTAATTATGCAAAAAGAAACTTGTAGTACGATCGCATCAAAATGTTCACCGCATGCTCAATGCATCGAGAGGTCTGACGGTGCCGTTTGTGTATGTAATCCAATGTGGATAGATTTAAACATGCAACAGCCCGGAGAACAGTGTATAAGTACGTTTAGTCACGTAATGCATAACCTTACCCTCTTCCTCCAAAAAAACTATGGTGACAATTAGCATCACTTAAAATTCATAACTGCGAAGTAAAATATCTGAATATAACACTGCTTACGCTAAATGATTTATAAGTAGTCAATGACAGTACGTGTTTTAGTCTTCAGTATTAAAAAAATTACATCAATCAAGTTTTCTTGTACTTGATTTTAATTACCTAATATGAGATACAGTAAATCGAAAAGTCAAAATGCTTATTCTTGTAGCAACATAGTAAATTGTCCATCCAAATCCGGCCGACAATTATGACTCATTAATCACACATTAGTAAACAATCGATGACCAAGCAATGTAAACATACTGACTTTGCAAAAGGTCGATCACGATACGAATAGGTTTTTTCTAAAGTATGTGACTGGAGTAACATGTGTAAAGGTGTCACGGACATTTAGGGTTTGTCAATGCTTCTATCTGCAACGATCTTATCATCAAGAATCCCAAACCCAGTCGAACCAGAGGTCAGGAATGAAGAAGTTCCAAGATATATTTGCAAGTTAGTATATATATAAAACTAACCATCTACAATCTAAAGACTCTTCTCAACTTTTGTTGAAGTTCATCTCAAAATCAGTATTTTCTTTAACTAATGTCACACTAAGTATACATGTCCTCTCGAAAATTCTGTTGGCTGGGTATCATGTGTATTCTAAATTGATAAAGAAGTTACCAACATGAAAAACTGTTATATAAGTACATTTGTTTCGGGTATCACTTCACTTTTCATTTCTTACTAGCTGGATTTTTCGGTAATATTGATATACTGAATTCAGATAACTATATTTCTAATCCATGGTTGGCTAGAGGAATGTTTCTGTATATTTATAAGTAGTGAACAAAATTACCGTTATATACGAAACAGGTTATTGATCTACAAAACCTGAATTTAAATTACAACTCACCCCAAACATCTATTTAATGAAGTACTAGATGTTCGTTTAACTGTATCCTAAATTTATAATAATCACCGATAATATCAATAATCCCCGTAAAAAATTACTCAGTAAAGTCTCACAACTAAATTCAAGATAATTTAGGACTGTAATGATCAGCAGGTATATCCAGCTGAGTCCCAAATATAACGAGAAATGCATCCTGGTTCCCACTGATAACCACCATTCAACTCTACTTATAATAGTTAGCAAATATCTTAACACTTATCAGCTCATTAGAACTGCATTGAGTAGAAACAAAACATAACTTAAAAAATCCCTTTGTGCAATATTTGTAACAAAAATAATAGTAAATCCCTGATAAACCTATTTTTAGAAGGGATCTAATAATCTAGAAACATTGTTGGCATATTTACTAGTTGATTTATTCAACAAGATGTGTTTCAACACCATTGTTTTATTTCAATAATTCTTTTTTTCTTTTCAGTAAGTCCAACTGTAATAGCGCTAATTGTTATTGGAACAATCCTAATCATAATAATATTTGCCGCAGGAATATACTTTGCTCTTCGTACAGGCAGAAATGGTCAACGTTTTATACATTCATTTGCTTAGCAAATAAATATAATTTAATAATACTCATTATACATAGATCCGAAAAGAAAATATAATCAGTATGTACATTGAATAATCATAATAATTATAACTTATATTTCGATATTATTTGTATTATTTGATTGAAAAAGGAAAATGTATTTACTATAAATTTTCAGGTTGAAAGAATTTTCTGTAAAATTTTATTGCATAAATTTCTTTTCTTTACATCTACAATCTATCAATGTATTTAATTATGATATAAACAATTCCATTTTTTGTCGGCTTTGTTTATAAATTTTTATGCCGATTTCCCTATATATTATAATTTCTTTCGATGTTCAGATTCTAATTTACAGAATCATATTTTGGCATCTGATATGTTACACAATAGTGAAAAACATACTCTTAAATTTATTTCAATTCTGTATGTAGAAATCTTTGTATTTGTAAAAAAAAAGTATATACCCTTTTATTATCATTTTTCATAGTTTTAGTTATACAATAAAAATTTTCCATTGTTTTTAAAACGAGATTTTATGAGGTTTAATATATGTTATATCTGTCAGTTATAAAATTGAATAAAACAATTCCAATGAGTCAATATCCTATCATGTTCATTTGTGTATTTGATATAAAATAGTAGGAATGATTAACTGAATAAACTTTCAAACACAATGTTTTTACCATAAACATATCAAGATTTCATTTATGTACCTTTGAACAATAAGTATCGTTGATATATATTCACGAGCTCAGTGAGTCTTTGATGACGTCTGTACTGAAGACTCAGTTTCAGTTTTCTTGTTTTATATGTAAACCTAAATAATCTATTATTTTCTTACAATCTATTGAGAAGATTCTTTTTACGATTTCAGTTAATAAATCGGGTGGCATTTAAAATTGTTTGTTCCGCATAAAACGGTGTCTGAATGACAGGAAATTATTAACTTTAAGACAAGATTCCATCCACAACATAAAAGTCCTTGTTTTTAGAAAGATAGTGTGAACTAAATGGTTATAGCAAAATCATGGGTTGCTTTCTAGTGAAAATTCGAATAGTTTTGAAAGGTTTTTTTCAATAAAATAAAAAGAAATAAACAGCTATTTATTTTTAAGATTTAGGACATGATTTTTAAAAACTGAGTAACGTAAATCTGAAATTCTCTTACGTTTCCATTTGAACAACACATGTACGTTATAGTCTGCTATAAGAATTAGTTCATTCCTTAAACCATAGTTTGTTGATGATAAATCAAGTACCTAGCTAATTTCCATCACACAAGTGAAGACACTATATTCAGAAAAGTATCACATTTAGACGAATCTACTATTATGTATGTATATAATTTTCTAACTTAATTTCATGAGATACAATCAGTTAATGTAGATGATTACGTCATGAAAACAATCTAATATTGTAGTTTAAATCACCAACCAATGTTAGCTAGACTACCATTGAAAACCAGGAAGCGTAAAACAATTCCTTCATCCTAGAACCCAGGTGGTCTAGTGTGCGAAAGTCTAATTTTTAGTCCACAACTGCAGCATTTGATGGTGAACATTTCTAACTTCAATCACTTCGCAGTACTGCAAGATTATCTTTGGTAGCACGGTGTGACTAGGAGACTTCAGCCAAGTTGCGTGTGAGACGGTTATCTACCCCAGACTATGGAAAGTGGTATTACAATATCGCGAATTGATGAAAGCTAGGCATGTACAGCGCTACATTCTGTCTGTGGTCAAGAGATTAAGCGTTTGCATACGAGACCAAATATCCCGGGTTTTATCCTTTGCAGAGGGGTTGAGGATGTGCATTAGGTAGTCTCATACTAGGATGAAATAGATGTCTAGTGCTTCTTGTTTTCAATGGTGGCTTAGATGTTGGGGATGCTAGATAACCAAACCACTTGGTAAACGTCACATTTTTGTAATTTTATTTTGGAAATTTAATTTAAATGATACCAAAAACAACTGAGTTATGGGAATGTAAAAAACGAAATAATGGAAAGGCCACATTTTCAAATACGAAATGTATGAAATGAAAATAAAACAATGATAATAGTTCAATACCACGATAAATATTGACATAAAACATACTTATTTTGTATCTAGTATTCAAGCTTCTTTCCATGGAAAGCTGAAACTTTTGATCTTTTAAAGAGTTGAAGACGAGGAAATCTTATTAAGCTTGTACAGACTCGATGACCAACCTTGAACTCAACATGTGGGTTAGCCTAAATGACCAATCGACTGAATGTTCAAAGAATAGTAACTTTAAATATTACATAATAATTAGTACTATTTTAGATGGTATGTAGCTGAAGAGAATCTATGAAATAATTGGATCCACATCATTCTTCTACGATCACTGTTCTTTCTTTATTCAAATTTATAGATGGGACAAACTGTGTCAAATAAGTGATCTAAATAACTGTTCCTAAAATTTACTATTGTTAAACAGGTTTAAATGTCATTTTTCGAAGCCTTTTCCGTTTTTAAACTTACATGCTTCACGAAATATGTGAATTTTAACTTATTGAATTCTTTTGAACAGATTTATTTTAATTAAAAATGAAAACAATTGAGGTTTAACATAAAATGTGTTTGTTTTTCAAAGTAATTTGAAGGTCATTAATACCACATGGTATTACTTTTCTACTATTCATGCGAAAAATGGATACATTAACATATGATTCAATAAATTAAATTGGTTAGATGAAAGTTTTTGATAAATCAATCAAGTGTGTACAATCGTGTTGAAGAAATGAAAATAGAATTTTCGAAATAGTCAATACAAATAATAATATGAGAAATTGAAGAAACTAATTTCACAATAAAAGTCGGACTCAAGAAAGAAACATAGAAAAAAATGACTAAGATCCAATAGAAAGTCAGTTTTTATCACAGATTGATATCAAAAGTAGAAAACCCTTACAGTCACTCGTACATAAGGTCGAGCTCAGGATACTTAGATCTCATCACAAGTAAGTCAAATTCAAGTTCCAAACGAAGACACCATTTTATACTCTTACTTTTTACACCCGTTTAAATAATTAAAATTAATCTTTAAGCTGAACAATCCACCACTAAACTAAATAATAACACTGAGTAAACAAGAGATTCAAACTAAACGTATTAAGCATCAATCAAAAGGGACTAATACTAATATATTCATATGATGTCCGTGAGAAGCAACTTATAATAGTTCATATATGTCATTATACTACAGACTATCAATCTTATGACTTAAACTCAGTCTTCAAAGATAGTTTTTGTCAACCAACACAAAACTAATTTATATTGACAGAAGACAGAGAAATATTTGTTAGTCGTTTCGTTCTACGTAGTTGATTTAAACCACACGTATCATGTGATATGTAATGCAACTTTCACCAATGATTCTTCAGACAGATTTTTCTTAGGAAATTATCACGTCATCTAAGCATCTATCATAAGATGAATATGTTGTATAAATTAGTATAAATCTTCATTTCTAGTTTTAAGATCTCTCTCATTTAATCAGTGACTGGAAAAATAATCCCACATATTTGGTCAAATTTACGACGCACACTGTGAGATTTGAAAAACTGACAGTGGTGAAATCCTAATACGAGAACCGGATATTTAAAAGGTAGTTAACAATGGCGATAGTGTTATACGATTAGAAATCAGAGTATGATTCCGTTTGGTACTTATGTTAATTTAAATGAATGACTTCATTTATTTATTGATAATGAATCTAACACGTGATGTCAATTTTTACTTCGTTTGGTTAATATTAGAGTCGGTAATTTACGGAAAAGAATTTTTCAGATTTAACCAGAGGAAATAAGTGACTCAACTTTACTTGCTTAGAATTCAAAATTGGACAAACATATATCCAAATATAAGTAGAGAGTTTAATCATACATATCAAATGTCATAAATATAAGGATCAGGAAATTATGAAAAGTATTAATTAAGTTTTATACTTTTCTTAAGGCTTTGGTAAAAGGTTGGTGGTTACTATATAATTTCTTCGTTCAGTGGAAAACTTTGATTAAGTATTTCAAACACCTGTGCTCATAAAAAATCAGATGAAATGTGTTATTGAAGATAGGAGTAAAGTGTGTAGTAATCTGAAGTTACTGTACAGTGTGTTACAATGAAACTAATAGACAAGTTAAACATTCTCTGTTGGATTATGTTTATGGCCAATAACGGTGAAAGATGTTTCTTCTTTGGAATCAGTACCATTATCATCAACTTCAGGAAATGTATCTGACGGTCGACCAGTACGTGAGATTAAACGAAAAACAATACCTGAGATTTGATATCTATGATTTTTTGGAGACTGAATGCCAATCAACTCCCAAGATGTAGAGGTATTTGTGTACGTAGACCTACAGATGGGGCACTGCGTGCGATTAACATCTGAAGGTCTGCAGCTGCTGGATCCTTGACCAGAAACAGACGATTCTGAACTTGCTGACGGCAACTGGTAACTAATTCCGGCCCTAAATAAAAGTAATGTTAAAGTACAGGTAAATAAGCTTGAACATAAAAATATATTTAGATATTACACATAAGTGAATGACTTACTGAAGCCGAATATAAGGCACACTTAAGATAACTATAGTTTTATTGACCTTCACTGTGTAGGTATTTTGACATCTTAATATATAAAACATTCTGTAACCAGTAGATTGTATATAACTATCCAATACCTATGGAAGGCAACTATGCATAATTGGAAATCCGAGGATTTCGGGAATGCATTCCAGCACGCACCAAACATGGCTTCAGTGGATAAAAGAGTGGATAAAAAGAAATGAACTCATTACATTATTGCAACTGTGACAGTAAAAACAAAATGTCGACTAGCTTACCAAGTAGCAAGTATATCAACCAGCATTCTACTCTGTATTTCAGTACGCATATGAAACAATGAATGTAACGAAGACATGTGCGTATTCATTACTCACCGTTTAAAAGAAAAAACAGATCACTCTAAAATATCTTTTCACATGTATTTCAGC